ACATAGTGCTTTTAATATAACCAGTGTCATTTTTCTAGCTAATTCAACTAGTGTTTATTGAAATGTTTCGGGGAAAGCCTAACAAAACATGACTTCCTTGATTCACCCAGATATTTTTGTCCTTCAGCTATCGATAGAAATGTGCACAATACCCACACATATTGTTTTAAGGTAATTTGATATATCTTTGAAAGTATATTGGAGTTTGTGGCTTATAAGCCATTGGAGACAAAAATGTATTTATGACCAAAAAAGTTATAAGATTAAGGTAATTATTTTCGATAACTTCTTCTTCAGGCTCTACAGTTATAAATCCATGAATAATAGAGTACATATAGCCAGTAAAGGCAAATGAAAATAATATCAGAAACTGTATTGGGGTGCATGTGTAAGTTGAGGTGATAGTCCATTAGTTAGCATAGTCAATTAAATGTGTATAGGGTGTTTAGTCAGAAAAATGTGATGAAGTGTGAATGAACAATTAGGTGATATAGTGTAGTTTTATAGTTAACAGAATACAAGTGTCCTTGGGGTGAGAAAATGCGATAACCACAAAATACATGTAAAGACACGTTAAAAAATGAGGCACTGGATATGAGGGCTGACCGATAATGTCTAATGATAAAATAAAGGGGCTAAATTGTAAATTGTAATAAAATGCTACAGAATTGGTAGGTTTAGTATAAAATCATAAAGGTTGACAAAGTAAGGGTAACAATGAGGTGAAATAAACTGGGTGGAGAAATGGATAATAAAGACATGATATCACAAAATAATAATAATGATAATAATAGTACGAAAAGATTATGATCCTGGTGACCTTATAGTGGGCCAGGGTAGACAAAGAGAGTGAATAAGTTTTTTCTGTACACATAGATCTGGTCTTTCTCTATTAATCTCTAAAGCCTCAGCTATGGCTAGGAGGCGTAATCGTGTGCCTTTGGGGAGATTGTTCGGTACCCGATACGCAACTGTAAATGACTCATCTACTTTGATGCTGTGTTCGCTATCCACTAGATGAGACAGAATTGCACTATTAATTGATTTGGTTGTTCTTTTCCCAAGCCAAACAGGAATATGTTCACGAGTGCGTAGAGATAAATTCCTCTGGGTACGACCTATATAACTAGCTCCACAGGAGCAGCTAAATTTATATACACACATTGATGTCGCCATTTTGGGCAATCTATCTTTAATGCACGGTGTCAATATCGGTTTGGTTGAGAAACTGACATACAGTTTTGCGGCACTAAAAGTTCTTTCAATTGATCTTGTTAATCTACGGTTTAATATATCACTGGCTATATCACCTTTGAATTGTACATTTAAGTAAAGCTTTTTCTTACTTACTGTGTCTCGCTTGGTATTATGTGTAGTTTCGTAGATATACTTCTTTACAAAGTTGGTAGGGTAGTCATTTTGTAGCAAGGCGTTTGTAAGATTTTTTATTTCATCTTCAATACAATCCTCGGTACATATGCGTCTAATTCTATGACTAAGACAGCGAATTAGGTTGCGCTTATATTGTATAGGTATGAAGCTATGGAAGTGGGTGTATTGTCCGTTCCACGTCGCTTTCCTATAGATGTTTCTTTTCAAGGTACCGTCTGATCTTTTTGTGAGAAGAACATCGAGAAATGGAATACTACCTTGTAGTTCCTCTTCACAAGTGAATTTAATAGCTGGGTGTACCTTATTGAAGACTTGCAGCAGATGTTGTTTATCCAAATTATTGTTACAAATGATAAAGGTGTCGTCAACATATCGACAATAATAATCGAGTTGGTTTAGTATCTCTTTTAAAGGACCATTTTCCAATTTGGATAGAAATATGTCGGCTAATAAGGAACCAAGGGGAGAGCCCATAGCAACCCCATCTATTTGGCGGTAGTACTCTTTATTAAATACAAATTGGACATTCATAGTGCATTTTAGTAATAACTCTTTCAATTTTCTTGGTGTGATTCCAATTTCTATATTCTTTTCTACGAGTTGTTCACATATGTAGTCGACAGTTTCTACAAGGGGGACGTTGGTAAATAGTGATGTTACGTCCAGCGATAACATGGTTTTTTCTGTTATTTTCATATCTTTAATATTTTCAACAAAGTTAAAGACATCTTTTACACTATATTTGACCAACTGGCGGTGTAACGGTTCTAACAGTTTTACCAACCATTTGGCAGTTAAATGGAAGGGTGAGTTCGACATGTCTAGGATTGGTCGTAGGGGGATTCCCTGCTTATGTATCTTGGGTAAGCCATAAAGTCTAGGTGTATGAGTTCCGGTGGGCTTAATAGCGTCAAAGATGGAACTATCAATTAGATTTTCATTTTTTAGAGACTTCAAAGTTTTAACAAACTGACGTTCTGTTGCTTCATTCGAATCTTTACTATTACCTAACTTTTGAAACTTGGAACGGTCTTCCAGTATGGCGTTCATCTTATCAATATAGTCGCGTTTGTTTAAAATTACTGTACCTGATCCCTTGTCTGGTTTTGTGATAATAATGCTGTCATCCGACATTAGTTTTCTGAGGCATTCTCTATGCTTTTTAGTTAATATACTTTTCTTGTCAATCTTGGCATTATTGTATTGGTAACAACAATCAACCAAGGTACTTTTAAATCTGTCTAACTCATGTTGGGAGGACGGCGTTAGGTCAAGTGTCTGAATGAAGAGGTTTTCAAACTGTACTTCTGTATGTAATTGGTCAATATTAACTCTTTTATCACAAAATTTAGGGCCTAGTGACAACACTTCCATAGCAGTCTTATCTAAAGTCACACTGGAAAAGTTGAAGACGTACCTTTCAGGGTCCTTGGGAAAGTGAGATTCTGGTATTTCCGTATCTAATCCTTTTGTAAGCTGGATTCTTTTTTTAGTTTCTCTAGTTTTAGAAACATCGTGGACGTATTTTAAGAATAATTCCTTTAAATGTGTGGGGAGTTCATCGACAGCATACTGTCTCTGTGGAATATTTCTTTCTAATGTGCTAATATGTCCTTGGAGAGATTCAATCTGATTAAGAGCGAATCGCTTGAGAGATTTCGTGTTTGGGCGCACTTTACATCGACGAAGAGATTTAGAGAATGATTTAGGATATTGGTTATTCTCAATACAGTTTCGGATAAAATCCACATTAGTTTTCGCTTCAGCGAGCTTTGCACTATACTTCAGATACTCGTTGAGTGCCTTCAGTGCAACGGGATGCTCACAAGATTTCAGTAAATGAAAAATCCCCATATTGAAATCAAAACAAGATTTTGAGCGAACAATTGTTTTCGATAACTTCTTCTTCAGGCTCTACAGTTATAAATCCATGAATAATAGAGTACATATAGCCAGTAAAGGCAAATGAAAATAATATCAGAAACTGTATTGGGGTGCATGTGTAAGTTGAGGTGATAGTCCATTAGTTAGCATAGTCAATTAAATGTGTATAGGGTGTTTAGTCAGAAAAATGTGATGAAGTGTGAATGAACAATTAGGTGATATAGTGTAGTTTTATAGTTAACAGAATACAAGTGTCCTTGGGGTGAGAAAATGCGATAACCACAAAATACATGTAAAGACACGTTAAAAAATGAGGCACTGGATATGAGGGCTGACCGATAATGTCTAATGATAAAATAAAGGGGCTAAATTGTAAATTGTAATAAAATGCTACAGAATTGGTAGGTTTAGTATAAAATCATAAAGGTTGACAAAGTAAGGGTAACAATGAGGTGAAATAAACTGGGTGGAGAAATGGATAATAAAGACATGATATCACAAAATAATAATAATAGATAATAATAGTACGAAAAGATTATGATCCTGGTGACCTTATAGTGGGCCAGGGTAGACAAAGGGAGTGAATAAGTTTTTTCTGTACACATAGATCTGGTCTTTCTCTATTAATCTCTAAAGCCTCAGCTATGGCTAGGAGGCGTAATCGTGTGCCTTTGGGGAGATTGTTCGGTACCCGATACGCAACTGTAAATGACTCATCTACTTTGATGCTATGTTCGCTATCCACTAGATGAGACAGAATTGCACTATTAATTGATTTGGTTGTTCTTTTCCCAAGCCAAACAGGAATATGTTCACGAGTGCGTAGAGATAAATTCCTCTGGGTACGACCTATATAACTAGCTCCACAGGAGCAGCTAAATTTATATACACACATTGATGTCGCCATTTTGGGCAATCTATCTTTAATGCACGGTGTCAATATCGGTTTGGTTGAGAAACTGACATACAGTTTTGCGGCACTAAAAGTTCTTTCAATTGATCTTGTTAATCTACGGTTTAATATATCACTGGCTATATCACCTTTGAATTGTACATTTAAGTAAAGCTTTTTCTTACTTACTGTGTCTCGCTTGGTATTATACCAAGCGAGACACAGTAAGTAAGAAAAAGCTTTACTTAAATGTACAATTCAAAGGTGATATAGCCAGTGATATATTAAACCGTAGATTAACAAGATCAATTGAAAGAACTTTTAGTGCCGCAAAACTGTATGTCAGTTTCTCAACCAAACCGATATTGACACCGTGCATTAAAGATAGATTGCCCAAAATGGCGACATCAATGTGTGTATATAAATTTAGCTGCTCCTGTGGAGCTAGTTATATAGGTCGTACCCAGAGGAATTTATCTCTACGCACTCGTGAACATATTCCTGTTTGGCTTGGGAAAAGAACAACCAAATCAATTAATAGTGCAATTCTGTCTCATCTAGTGGATAGCGAACATAGCATCAAAGTAGATGAGTCATTTACAGTTGCGTATCGGGTACCGAACAATCTCCCCAAAGGCACACGATTACGCCTCCTAGCCATAGCTGAGGCTTTAGAGATTAATAGAGAAAGACCAGATCTATGTGTACAGAAAAAACTTATTCACTCCCTTTGTCTACCCTGGCCCACTATAAGGTCACCAGGATCATAATCTTTTCGTACTATTATTATCATTATTATTATTTTGTGATATCATGTCTTTATTATCCATTTCTCCACCCAGTTTATTTCACCTCATTGTTACCCTTACTTTGTCAACCTTTATGATTTTATACTAAACCTACCAATTCTGTAGCATTTTATTACAATTTACAATTTAGCCCCTTTATTTTATCATTAGACATTATCGGTCAGCCCTCATATCCAGTGCCTCATTTTTTAACGTGTCTTTACATGTATTTTGTGGTTATCGCATTTTCTCACCCCAAGGACACTTGTATTCTGTTAACTATAAAACTACACTATATCACCTAATTGTTCATTCACACTTCATCACATTTTTCTGACTAAACACCCTATACACATTTAATTGACTATGCTAACTAATGGACTATCACCTCAACTTACACATGCACCCCAATACAGTTTCTGATATTATTTTCATTTGCCTTTACTGGCTATATGTACTCTATTATTCATGGATTTATAACTGTAGAGCCTGAAGAAGAAGTTATCGAAAACAATTGTTCGCTCAAAATCTTGTTTTGATTTCAATATGGGGATTTTTCATTTACTGAAATCTTGTGAGCATCCCGTTGCACTGAAGGCACTCAACGAGTATCTGAAGTATAGTGCAAAGCTCGCTGAAGCGAAAACTAATGTGGATTTTATCCGAAACTGTATTGAGAATAACCAATATCCTAAATCATTCTCTAAATCTCTTCGTCGATGTAAAGTGCGCCCAAACACGAAATCTCTCAAGCGATTCGCTCTTAATCAGATTGAATCTCTCCAAGGACATATTAGCACATTAGAAAGAAATATTCCACAGAGACAGTATGCTGTCGATGAACTCCCCACACATTTAAAGGAATTATTCTTAAAATACGTCCACGATGTTTCTAAAACTAGAGAAACTAAAAAAAGAATCCAGCTTACAAAAGGATTAGATACGGAAATACCAGAATCTCACTTTCCCAAGGACCCTGAAAGGTACGTCTTCAACTTTTCCAGTGTGACTTTAGATAAGACTGCTATGGAAGTGTTGTCACTAGGCCCTAAATTTTGTGATAAAAGAGTTAATATTGACCAATTACATACAGAAGTACAGTTTGAAAACCTCTTCATTCAGACACTTGACCTAACGCCGTCCTCCCAACATGAGTTAGACAGATTTAAAAGTACCTTGGTTGATTGTTGTTACCAATACAATAATGCCAAGATTGACAAGAAAAGTATATTAACTAAAAAGCATAGAGAATGCCTCAGAAAACTAATGTCGGATGACAGCATTATTATCACAAAACCAGACAAGGGATCAGGTACAGTAATTTTAAACAAACGCGACTATATTGATAAGATGAACGCCATACTGGAAGACCGTTCCAAGTTTCAAAAGTTAGGTAATAGTAAAGATTCGAATGAAGCAACAGAACGTCAGTTTGTTAAAACTTTGAAGTCTCTAAAAAATGAAAATCTAATTGATAGTTCCATCTTTGACGCTATTAAGCCCACCGGAACTCATACACCTAGACTTTATGGCTTACCCAAGATACATAAGCAGGGAATCCCCCTACGACCAATCCTAGACATGTCGAACTCACCCTTCCATTTAACTGCCAAATGGTTGGTAAAACTGTTAGAACCGTTACACCGCCAGTTGGTCAAATATAGTGTAAAAGATGTCTTTAACTTTGTTGAAAATATTAAAGATATGAAAATAACAGAAAAAACCATGTTATCGCTGGACGTAACATCACTATTTACCAACGTCCCCCTTGTAGAAACTGTCGACTACATATGTGAACAACTCGTAGAAAAGAATATAGAAATTGGAATCACACCAAGAAAATTGAAAGAGTTATTACTAAAATGCACTATGAATGTCCAATTTGTATTTAATAAAGAGTACTACCGCCAAATAGATGGGGTTGCTATGGGCTCTCCCCTTGGTTCCTTATTAGCCGACATATTTCTATCCAAATTGGAAAATGGTCCTTTAAAAGAGATACTAAACCAACTCGATTATTATTGTCGATATGTTGACGACACCTTTATCATTTGTAACAATAATTTGGATAAACAACATCTGCTGCAAGTCTTCAATAAGGTACACCCAGCTATTAAATTCACTTGTGAAGAGGAACTACAAGGTAGTATTCCATTTCTCGATGTTCTTCTCACAAAAAGATCAGACGGTACCTTGAAAAGAAACATCTATAGGAAAGCGACGTGGAACGGACAATACACCCACTTCCATAGCTTCATACCTATACAATATAAGCGCAACCTAATTCGCTGTCTTAGTCATAGAATTAGACGCATATGTACCGAGGATTGTATTGAAGATGAAATAAAAAATCTTACAAACGCCTTGCTACAAAATGACTACCCTACCAACTTTGTAAAGAAGTATATCTACGAAACTACACATAATACCAAGCGAGACACAGTAAGTAAGAAAAAGCTTTACTTAAATGTACAATTCAAAGGTGATATAGCCAGTGATATATTAAACCGTAGATTAACAAGATCAATTGAAAGAACTTTTAGTGCCGCAAAACTGTATGTCAGTTTCTCAACCAAACCGATATTGACACCGTGCATTAAAGATAGATTGCCCAAAATGGCGACATCAATGTGTGTATATAAATTTAGCTGCTCCTGTGGAGCTAGTTATATAGGTCGTACCCAGAGGAATTTATCTCTACGCACTCGTGAACATATTCCTGTTTGGCTTGGGAAAAGAACAACCAAATCAATTAATAGTGCAATTCTGTCTCATCTAGTGGATAGCGAACACAGCATCAAAGTAGATGAGTCATTTACAGTTGCGTATCGGGTACCGAACAATCTCCCCAAAGGCACACGATTACGCCTCCTAGCCATAGCTGAGGCTTTAGAGATTAATAGAGAAAGACCAGATCTATGTGTACAGAAAAAACTTATTCACTCTCTTTGTCTACCCTGGCCCACTATAAGGTCACCAGGATCATAATCTTTTCGTACTATTATTATCATTATTATTATTTTGTGATATCATGTCTTTATTATCCATTTCTCCACCCAGTTTATTTCACCTCATTGTTACCCTTACTTTGTCAACCTTTATGATTTTATACTAAACCTACCAATTCTGTAGCATTTTATTACAATTTACAATTTAGCCCCTTTATTTTATCATTAGACATTATCGGTCAGCCCTCATATCCAGTGCCTCATTTTTTAACGTGTCTTTACATGTATTTTGTGGTTATCGCATTTTCTCACCCCAAGGACACTTGTATTCTGTTAACTATAAAACTACACTATATCACCTAATTGTTCATTCACACTTCATCACATTTTTCTGACTAAACACCCTATACACATTTAATTGACTATGCTAACTAATGGACTATCACCTCAACTTACACATGCACCCCAATACAGTTTCTGATATTATTTTCATTTGCCTTTACTGGCTATATGTACTCTATTATTCATGGATTTATAACTGTAGAGCCTGAAGAAGAAGTTATCGAAAACAATTGTTCGCTCAAAATCTTGTTTAAGGTAATTATCATCACAGTAATTTTTCTTTGTACAAATGCGACACTGTAGCTTCCCATCGGAACTCCATATTATATTATGACGCTCAACATCTCACGAATACGAATGTTGTTTCTCAGTAAAACTCACAGTTTAACACACTTAAAAAACAGTACTAGTATATTTAATATGTAGTAGCTTTCTGTACACCCCGATCCTTGCGCTTTAATGTCACCTATGTTTACCAGTGTACACCTATATATATATATATATATATATATATATATATATATATATATATATATATATATATATAAACCTGTCAGCAAACATAAAATCAATCAGTTCTATGTGGACTGATCAATACCGTTTTCCCTTATGACAATGGTAGTGATGAGATTCATCATCATTTTGCAAGTGAACAACATTTTCTATTAACTGTGTGTTTTTTGGATTATCTCATTGTGTTTTTCTCATGAGTAAATGACTTCACTTTAAGCTCTTTTCTAATAAATGAAAGTTTTGTAATACATATATATATATATATATATATATATATATATAATGTATATTCATTATAATTTTAGGTTACACAGCCCATTTGTCTGGAAATGTATGTGAATAATGAATTCATTTATGCAAACCATGGTGAGTAGTTTTTTCGGTTATGAAACAAACAAAAATGTTTAGGCAAAATAAAAAAATTTTTGTCTTGCTGGTGAAATTATACTTTAGATATCTAGCAAGAGCGAACTCATGAAAGACCGTGGAACACTGAGTCACAGCAGGGCAGTGAAACTAAGTAAGTAACACTTTTTTCATGAAGAAAAGTGCAGAATGAAATGTAGTGAAATCAAACAGAATATCTGGTTAATCTTAGGTTAGATTAGAGAAAAATTAATGCTGAGTTTACTTTATGGACACGTAAGGGTCAAGTTAACGTAAACAGGGAGGTGTAAGCGTTGGTAAAGGTTAGATTAGGCTTAGGTTAGAAGCCGGGATTTGCCTTTCGGATCATTGGCTCATTCCAGGGTCACCTCCTCAACTGTCTAGGGTAGGATTTTGCCACCTTACCTGAATAACCTGTACTGTGGTAAACAAACAAACAGGCTGGCAGCCACAATAGGACTGAGTAAAAGTTTTTCTCATTCAAGCAATTTTATCATGGTTGTCAACACTAGTATTATCTTTTTCAAATCGTGTGTGCAAATACTAATACTACTTTCATAATATACAACCACAAGCATTGAGTTTCATATTAAACACGACCAGGATACTGATATCAATGCATGCATTTCATTTGCCAAAAATATCACCCTCTACTGCTAAGGTCAGGAATCCAGACATATTAAAATCTCACTTTTGAGCTGAAAAGAACAAACAAACAATGGAATAAATCCCCAGAAAAGTGTTTTAACCCAAATTTTAAAGACATTTTTAACTAAAGTTGTCTGAACAGAAAAGTCATATACACATATTAGTATATATATGCATATAAACACCTCCTTTGGGGATTCCAAAGATTTAGGCACAAATATTTGGCTAACACTAATCTGAAAGTTTACTCTTATTCTAATTTACAGATGGATATATACTGACTTAAGATAGGAGATTTGCAAATAAAAATCAGACATGAGATTGTATTTTATCTTAAATTGTACTGAGCATTACTAAGCTGTTTTATAAATCACTATTGCAAGGCTAAAGAAACGAAAATGCTTTTATTAAATATTTATTAAATGGTATTGCAATAACTCAATAAAGACGCAGAATGACTTTTTAATGAGGACTGGCAATCTAAATTTAATTTTTCCGACGTAAGCTTTGTAAACTTAATGATAAAACAGAAATGTTTTCAATGAATTCAGACATATACTTTAGCTGATACAGCTGTCTGTCGTTTTTATAAAACAACCATCGAAATAGGTATATAACGAATAACGGTTGAGTCGGTTATCTTAACATTCTGTTTCAAAAATGTATAGATCGAAGAGTAAAAATAATTAGCGGTTTGTATTCAAGGCAATCCATCGTATAAAATTTCGCAATTCGAGATGATAAAAAGAAACATTAAACATTCTACTTTGTCTGACCACTAACACTTTAGGTTCATTGTCCAGGGAATATCATTACTTCATATGTGTCATATATATATATATATATATGTCTTTGTCTAGTTATCAAGCTTGTATGATGCCCTACATATGATGGCTTGATATACACGTCTTTTTTAGGGGCTAGTTGGAGAGTGGGTTTTAGTGTTTTCACTACTTTGTATCGCTTGATGAACCTGTCTGGATAATTGCTATCAACCAGAGTTTGTGTCAACTTTCTTTCTTATTCATCAAGTGTGTCTTCAATGCATACTAGTTGGATTCTGCTGAAGAGGCACCTTATTAAGGCTCTTTTGTACCGAAAAGGACAGAAACTGTGGTAATTAAGATACTAACCTGTCTAGGTAGGTTTTCTATAAATAGATCTTTTTATTGACCCATCAAGCCGTCGACTAAGGGATATGTCTAGGAAAGATGAACAATTATCTCCCGCTTCTACAGATGTAAGTGATATGCTATTCTGAAAATTGAGGTGGCAGAACAAGACTTATCACTTATGATTACGATATCATCTACATAACTTCTATAAAGTGGCACATTTTCGCTTAAATCCTACGATAAACTCTCAGTGTACGACATATAGATATCTGCTAAAAGGGGCCCTAATGGACTTCCCATAATGACACTATCAACTTGGCGGAGACAATCCCCTTCAAATGTAAACCTAACATTGCTAGTACATAGAAGTAATATATCCCTTCAATAAGATATAGGGAACGGGGTGAAAAAATTGTTTGTGGAAATGTAATCACACAAAATGTCAACTGTTTTGAGCAAAGGCATCAGAAAATCTCCATCATCTAATAACACTATTCAGCGTACAATTTAGCTAGGCCAAGAGAGAGACAAAGGTAGAACAAACTCCTTTTGTGCGCAAAGACTAGGATTGTTCTCTCGAATTCCCATAGCTTTGTCTACGTGTAAATGGCGAGTTCGAATTCTGTTCAGAAGGTTCGATGGGATGCGATAGGTAACTTTGAAGTCACTCTTCCTGTCCACTCGATGACTGCTACCAATCAAATGAGACAAAATAAAACTTCTTATAGTTTTTTATTCGCCCTTTTCTGAACCATGTAGTAAGATGCTCAGTAATGTGTCTGTTGAGTTATGTAGTTGTTCGCCCTATAAAGCTTTCTCCGCAGGAACAGCATAATTTATAAATGTATACAGAAACGGTGCATCTGGGCAGCTTGTCTTTCCTCTGAGCAATCATAATTGGTCGGTTGGAAAGTGACAATCAAAGGGTGGCAGAAGTATAAGTTCGTTTTATTGCTGTAGATAATCCTAGATATAGGGCTTCACTGGCCGCGTCTCCATTGAATTACAGTTTCAGGAACAGTTGCGTACTATTAGCCGTTAACGGTTTCTCTTTATTATACACGGTATTCAGGTGTCTTTTAACAATCTACTAAGATAACCCATTTGGACCAGCGTATTTTGGATGTATCGTAATTCATTTTCTAGAGAGTTGTAAGTACAGATCCTTCTTGCTCTATTCGTGAGGCATCTGATCAAGGAAGTGTAGTCTACCATCATATTCTTCTTCAAAAGTGAACATGAATGATGCATGCGCATCACTAAATTTTATTAACATTTCGTTCTTGTCAGCTTTGGCATCAAGAATAATCAAAGTATCATAAACATAAATAAGAATCCATTTTATCTATTACGGACCATTTTTGAGTTTAGCAAGAAAGAAATCAGCCACAATTGAACACAATGAAGAACCCATGGCAATACCGTCGATTTGTCTGTAATAAAGATTGTTGAATGTGAGGTGTGCATTCATGTCGCATCTTAGAAGCAGTTTTTGTGACTAATAATTGGAATTTGGATATCCAACTGCTTTTCTAGTACTTTTGTCATATGATTTCCACAGTAGCCATTAGTAGTACACTGATAAACAGTGATGAGACATCTGGGATAGCATTTACCTCCCACTTACATTGACAATGTGTAAGTTAGAAATGAAACACCATGACTTACCAAGTTCTGGAGTACTGGTTGAAGGAGTTCACCTAGCCACTTCACCCCTCCAAGTAGGTGGAATTAGACATGTCTAGGATTGGAAGAAGAGGAATCCCCGGTTTACGTACTTCAGGCAAACCATGCAATAGTGAAGCAATACTTTCAGTAAGTTAAAGAGGGTTGTAGGCTGCCCCTGGAAAGACTCGACTTTTCCTCAGCTCCTTAAGCTCATTTGTTAGCTGCATTTCAGCCTTTCTGTCTAGGTCTGTTGAGCTGTTAAGCTTTGGAATTGCATTTCAGTGGTAAGAAGCGAATTCATTTTGTCAACGTATTCACCTCAATCGATACTTCCGCAGCCCCTTTTTTCTCCAAAATTATGCATTATGCAATCTACTTGTTGTAACTAGTTTAACCATTTAACTGTGTGTATTATTTTTCTTCATTAATCACTACCCCCTAGACATGTTGATACTGACTAATTATTGTTGACAAATATGTCGTCACACTGTGCGTCGGTGGCACAGTGGTTAGGACTCTCGCCTACCATACACATGTTCGAGGTTTGATCCCCTGCCGACGCACACCTGATATCTATGGTTCACCTGCAAAATTTGGGCTACCGATATCCATGCCGAAAATTCCATACTTGTACCAAAAACACAGTGTGGAATCAAGCTGTAATAAAAAAGTGCTATGTTTTGTATTGAAAATTTCAAAATACTCTAGAATTTTAAAAGTCGAACCGTAGTCAAAGAAAACGAGTTGAATATTTCATAATAATTAGTATAGTTACGTTTTTTCGGAAAATATTTTGAAAACTCCTCCGTGTTTTTTCGTAATAACTGAATACTCTTCTCCGTGAAATGACAGTTGAAGAAATAATACTATGACAGCCAGGGACTACCAAGTATCTTCAAAAAGAACTTCAGTGGACAATTATGGTATTTCGACGTTAAGATGGGTCAAGGTGTCAGTTAACTATACCCCACATATATAGACAGTCTTATTTCGCCCTTATTGTTGTAATACAATTCTTCACTTAAGCAGTAATGAAATATTTACTATTCAGACAAAAGCAGGAAACCATGCCAAGAGCCTGCTATGAACACAATACATGGATGAGACTCATGATGAACTATGTAACTGGCTGATTCAGAGTGATTTTGAAGCCCCATCAATTGAGTTATTGCTGGTTGCTTCTGTAGTTGATCTTCGCTCATCTTTTGTCATTATTATAGAAGAAGCACCAAAACATAACACTTAGAAGTAAGCTGATGAACCAGTAGTATAGAAAAACTATCTGTACGTGAAAACTAACTACTGAAAGTCAGAATACATACGTCGTAATTACATATTTACTTATTTATTTGGTGTTTCACACAATGAAATATAAATATTTGCTGGATGACGAAGATTCCAGAACAATTTACTGTTCATAATCATATCGGTTATGACTGCGTAACTTCGACGCTCGATTTTTAATAGTTCACTTTCTGACTTCCCATATGTAGTAAGGCCAGTCGAATTTTCTAGGAGCATCATTCCTAGTACACATATTTACTTACGCAAGATTTAGACCTGTAAAATTTTTCCCACAAACCGTATAGCATAATAATAAGAACAGAAGTAAAATAGAACTAAGGAACATTCAATATACGTGGGAAAAGTTATTAACCACTTATTATTCACCTGGTTATGAGATTAAATAATATGGTTTAACTTAGAAAGTGATTTCATGACACGAAATACTCTATTGTACGTTTATTCTGTTTAAACATATTTAACACTGATTTGTGTACAGTTTGAAGTAGAAATTTATGCTAATTTTTAGAAAATGTTCTCTGACATTATTTACTTGATTCTTAGAGCTATTTAAAGTGTAGGTGGGAATATGATGTATTGAAAACAACATGATATCACCTTGTTAAATTTAAACGTCAGTAGTTTACTCCCTCTTTTGAAAAAGATGTATGGTACTGTTATTCATAACAGTAAGCGTTGACCACCACTGCATAAATTTAATCTATGCTGATCCGTGAAACACTTTCATTTATTTCATGGCATTTTCAGCACAGCCTCATTGAATACAGTTTCACAGCTTTGGTATATTCAACTCAAGTTGCTAGTGTCACATTCGATAAACGAAATACTATCTACGGTATGTTATCAAGAATACAAGTAGAAGTCAACGTTTTACATGGTCATCAAGTATGTGGCTTTTACGCTGTTTCTTCTATATATACCATCAACCAGAATCAAACATTTCAACAAAAATTAATGCCCTTAGCTTTGATGAACTCTGGCTTTTTTAACCAGGAGAAAACTATCAGAAATAATTTTTTCCAAAGGAAATTAAACAAAATGAGAACAGAACGACCATGGGTGATTTTCTGGTTACATAAAACTTATTTACACTGATGTGAGACCTATAACATCTAAAATCTTTGAAACCACTGTAACTCAAGAATAACCTACAAACCAACACTTGAATACCAATCAGATGCTCACTGGCGACTGGCCCTATTCAGGTAGGTAGTTACCTGGGTTCCAGTGGGAAGTCGTGATCAGTAGGGTGCAGCTGGTCGGGTGTGAGGACAAATACTCGCCAAAGACATTGGCTAGCGGTCGCGCTATGTCGTGAATCGGCAGAAGTAAAAATTCAAGGACCATTGGATCGGGTCCCAGTGGCTTAATGGTATACGAGCTCACCTTGTAACCAGAAGGTCCTGGGTTCGAATCACGGTGGGTGCGTACTGATGATTAGTCCCAGACTAGGACGAAACAGCTGTCCAGTACTCCCAGGTTTTCCAATGGTTCTCTAACTAATGTCAGCTCATGATGAAATCCTGAAACCAATCAAATCCCTACAAACCAACACTTGAATAACCTCATATGATTATTATTATTGTTCCCTTGGGTTCCTAGTGGAACATAGGGCTTCAACTGCTCGTCTCCACTTGCTTCTGTCTTATGCTGTACTCTCCACCTGCGTCCATGTTAGTCCATAGTGTTTCAACTTCTCTTCACACCATCTCCCCCATGACACCCTTGGACGTCCCACTCGCTGCTTCCTTTTCGGATTCCACTCCAGAGATGGCCTGACGCGCGATTTCACCCAGCGGCCTCCTCACCGACTGTCCAATCCATCTCCACTTTCTCCTGCATATTTGTTGGGCGATTGGTTCTTGTTTTGTTTCTTCCCATAGTTTCTTGTTGGTGATTCATTCCGGCCCGGCCATCTGACCTCCAGTATAGAGTGAAGACAGTTGTTGATAATGGTCTGCAACCTGTTGGAAATATTCTTTGTGACCCGACAAGGTTTTGATCTGTATAGAAGAACTGACTTGACGTTTGTATCGAAAATCCGAATTTTGTTGTTGATGCTGAGTGACGAAGATTTCCAGATTGTTTTCAGATTGATGAATGTGTTTCTCGCCTTCCCGATTCTCGCTCGATTTGACATCCTCGTCCGTTCCGACTGACTGTAGTTGAGACAATGCTCCCCAGATAAGTGAATGAAGTAACCTCTTTCAAATCCCTCCCGTTGATGGTGATTGACGCTGGATGTTGCTGCTGTTGTTGTTGGTTGGTTGGTTATTTTCATCACCTCCGTCTTGTCTATGTTTACCTGGAGTCCTGTCTTTGCTGCTTCTTCGACCATTTTGTTGGTTTTCGCTTGTAAGTCTTCGATTTTGTGTGACATCAAACATAAATCATCCACGCGCGAAATCCAGGTCTTCTAGGTTCTTCGGGTCGGTCGGTCCAGGATATCCCTGTCTTCTCGTTTCCCACTGTCTGACGCATAATCCAGTCCACCACAATTAGGAATATCATTGGTGATAATAAGCACCCTTGTCTGACTCCTGTGTTTACTCCAAACGCCTCGCTGAGTTTTCCGTTGTGGATCACCTGATGTGCGCCGTTCTCGTACAACTGTTGAATAAGGTTGATGAGTATTTGAGGCACTGTACGCCGTAGTACTCGAGTAATTTCCAAATTACTTCACGATCAACTCTGTCGAAAGCCTTCTCAAAGTCTATAAAGTTGAGATAGAGGTTTGATTGCCATTCGATGCTTTGTTCGATGATGATGCGTAGAGTTGCAATTTGGTCAGTACATGATTTGCCTTTCTTGAAACCAGCTTGTTTTGGTCGGAGTTCTGTCTCCAGTGCGTCCTTTATTCTCTTCAGTATGATGCGGCTCAATATTTTACTTGGCGTCAACAGGAGCATGATTCCTCGCCAGTTCTTGAAGAGTGAGGCGTAAGTAGCCCTTCTTTGGTAGTTTCACGAGGTAACCTTTCCTCCAGTCAGTAGGCCCCTTTTGCTCCTTCCAGACCTTTTGCAATAATGGAGTCAGCATGCCTGCTGTCGTCTCTGGGTCCGCTTTTAGTGCTTCAGGGAGTATTCCATCTGGTCCAGCTGCTTTTCCAGGATTTGGATGCTTGATTGCATCCAAGGCTTCAGCTTTCGTTGGAGGATTGGCGTCAACTTGCAGTTGTGTGCGCGCTGTTGTTGGTATTTCTGGACGGGTTGCAGGTGATGGTCAGTTCAAGAGTCCTTTGAAGTGATCCGCACATTGTTTAATCTGTTTTTCTTCCTTGGTAATGGGCTTCCCTTGGCTGTCTTTTATAGGTTTCGCTTGTGTTGATCTCTTCCCGGATAGAGATTTGGTTATCTGATATAATGTCCTAAGGTCCCCTTTGCCTGTTGCCTTCTCAGCTTCAGTGGCGAAGTTGCGTAGAATCGTCTTTTGTCCTTCCTAGCACTCTTCTTCACTTCTTTGTCCAGTGCTGTGTAAGTTGAGCTCAGCGTCTCCTTCTCCTGTCCGTCCATGCATTGAATCATTTTCTCTTTCACCATTCTCCTCTCTTCTATTAATTTCCAAGTGTCCGTTGAGAGCAATTCCTTGTCTTGTCTCTTCTTTCTTCCTAGAACCGTTGAACACGTTTCGTTGAGAATCGCCTTCAGAGACTTCCAATGTTCTCCCACGCATGATTCTTCAGTGATGTCACGTAGTGTTTCCTGCTTTGCTCTGACAGTTGCAGTGAAAGTGTCCTTTGTGGTTGTCCTTCAGTTTTTGAGTGTTGAACTTGCATTGTGTCCTATTCCCAGCTATCCTCAAGGCTTTTAGCTTAACGTTGAAAGTTCCTTGTACTAAATAGTGGTCTGAACCCACATCTGCTGCTTCGTTTGGTAACTCCTTGTCTGTTGTGACTGGTGACTTCAACAACTGTGGCTGCGGTTTTATTACATTGCTGGGCCATCAAAATGTTGTTAGTTTCCCAACTCGACAAGATACTTCACTTGATTTAGTATTTATAAATGATTCTGGAATATACGAAGCACGTAAAAGAGCCTCGCTCTTCAATTCTGATCACTGTATCGTACGAGCCTTACCCAAAATTTACGGAAAGTTACACAGCAAAGCCTTCTCAAACTTTTCTAAGATAGTTTTTCACAGATGTTACTCAAATGAAAACGTATATCATCTTAGAAACATGCTCAGTGACACAAGATGGGATCTGTTTAATGATGATTCACTTGATGACACTATCTGTAATATTAGATCTTATCTGAAATTCTGTTTTGAAATCTGCTGTCCAAAAGAAACACTATTCGTCAACTCTGACCGTTTCTCCCCCCCTCAACTTAAAAAGCTTCGTAGAGAGAAGGAAAAACTATATAAGATGAAAGATAAAAGTGGTGTAAAAACTTCTTAATTAAGTCTGAAATACAGAGGTTGAAAGTAATATGTAACCAGAAATTCATATCCTGCAAAAATGCCTCTAATATGTTGAAACTATTTGACGAAAACACTGGTGGTAAGCAGATAAACCATATTCCATATTCTTTTGATGTATGTACTCTTAAAAAATCCTTTATTTACTCTCCCTCAAATGCCATTCTTCCTAGCATCACTAGTGTTAATGATAGCCACTTTCCAGGTTTTAACACAAATTTTTATTTTTATTTTTGTTTACAGCTTAATTCCACACCGTATTTTTGGTACAAGTATGAAATTTTCAGCGTGGATATCGGTAGCCCAAATTTTGCAGGTGAACCATAGATATCAGGTGTGCGTCGGCGTGGGCTCGAACCCCGGACAATATGCATGGTCGGAAAGAGTCCTAACCACTGTGGCACCGATGCACACAAATGATGTTCAAAAGTGCCTCAAGTCTCCAAACACTTCCCACAGCTTAGGTCCAGATTATGTACCTAGTATTATTTTTAAAAAATGTTCTGATATTCTGTGTCACCCTCTTACTGATCTATTTAACAAATCTTTTGCCAGTAATATTGTGCCTGCCGTTTGGAAGGACATTAAAGTTGTACCTATACCTAAATTATCTACTGGAGCATGTGTCGAATCTAGACCCATTGCTATTACCTCTCCTTTTTTGAAAACTATGGAGAAATTACTTTTACTTAGTCTTCTACCTTCGCTTAAATCCTATAATGACCCTTAACAATTTGCCTATAAACACAGTAGAAGCACTTTAGATGCAGCTGCCGTCTTATGTCATAACATTGTTTCCAGTCTAGACAAGGGGGCCAAATTTGTTCGTTGTGCCTTCCTAGACCATACATCTGCTTTTGACTCGGTCCCTAGGGACATCTTATTAAATAAACTTGCCGCAAGTCAAACAGAATGTTGGGCTGTTAACTGGTTATATTCCTATTTCTCAGAAAGAAAGCAGTACACCATGTATAAAGTGAAGTCTTCCACTTCATTGCCTACTGAAGCTGGTGTCCCTCAAGGCGGTGTCCTTTCTCCTTTTCTTTTTTCTTTCTTCTTGCATGACTTGCCTCACTCTGATGAAATGAACTTTGTTAAGTACGCTGATGACTAAACTTTCAATGCCTGTTAACTCCCAGTTAGATTGTACCGAATAAATAGCATTCTGTCGGGAGTCAGTAAATGGTCTGAGTCTAACGGTCTTAAACTGAATCCTTCTAAATGTCAAACTGTTAATTTCAGCTTAAGATGTAAAAGGCAGTTAAAAGAAGTCATCGATTCTCATGGCAGTTGTAAAATTGACGACAGTGATATAGGAATCAAATCAGAAATTAAGTATCTTGGACTCATTCTCTCTTCTGATCTCTCCTGGTCTTCCCATGTCTTAGCAATCTCCAGTAAAATATTCCGCCTGACATTTTACATTAAGAAGTGAAGACATTTGGGTACAACTCAACCCGTCCTCTTACAGTTCATAAACTCTTGCATCCTACCTATTCTTCTTTATTGTTCTTTCCTGGTTTGCTTAAAAAGGACTATGTCACAATGCATAGAATGCTGAAGACTGTCAGTAGGGTGATTGGTATCCCAGTGGACCACATAGTTAACGTCGTTGTCGATAGGCACTTGACTTCATGCAATAAATTTGCTAGAGGGATTTTGTCTGACTTGGAGATTCCACTTTACCCTCAGCTTTCACCTTGCATCTCCTCAGGTAGAAAAAGAAGTAACTTCAGAAAACTGTATGTTCGCACGTCTAAGTATAGAAATTCTGATACCATACTTGGCACGTATTTTATGGGATGAAAATAGTGTCAGGCCAGAATTAACTAACCTTTTTTCATCTAGTAAATAAACAATTTCCTCCATCCATCCTTATATACTTTCAAGTTTTACTTTTATTATTTCTATTATATTTATGGTCCTGTTAATTCTCTGTTTTACTCTCATAATTGCAAACACCAACTTATCTCCATGACGGCTGTAATCTTTGTTTTTCCCCTCACCATATCATGTAAAGAGAACATTATATTCAATATTTTTAAACATGTTGGGATTTCTATACCACATTGACAATGCTGTGTGGCACAAGCCAACGGCAATTTTCACTTGTATTCTTATTATTATTACCCTAGATGTTATCATTATTATTGCTATTTCCATTTTATATGCTGCATGTTTTTGACACTACCTCTATTGTAAATGTGGAAAATTTTCTGTGTAATTAATTTTATTAATAATTTGAGGAAATTAGATGCAATATTGTGATTAATGCTGAAAATTCCAGTCTGTATCACAAGTACTGCTTTTTGGGATAAAGTAAATCATTATTATTATTACCTGTTCCTCTCCTCGATCTTGTCTCCAGTGGGCTCCGTCTCCACTTTCTTGAGATTGAAATGAAGTCTTTCTGGTTTTTCTTGTGTCCATGTGGTGAAATCCATGTCGCCTTGTGTATATCGTTGTGTTTAAACATACTTCCACCAATCACCAAATCATTCAAGGCGCAGAAGTCTGAGAAGAGTTCACCATTGTCGTTCATTTCATAGAGGGCCTCACGACCCGTTGTGAGTTCTCTTCTCCTCCCAGCTTCGCATTCATACCACCAATCAGGATTTTGATATCGCCATTTGGGACGTTGTCCATCACTGTTTGTAGTTGTCTGTAGAACGCCTCCTTCTCTTGTTATGAGACGTTTGTGGGCGCATAGCATTGAATGACTGTAACTTTCCTTCCTTTTGAGTTGAACTAGGCTGTCATTATCCTAGAGGAGATTGGTTCCAACTGCATGAGAGCTTTGGCTGGTGTTGGTGACGTCATGATGGCCACTCCCTCGATGTGCTCATGATTGTCCTTCCGGTGACCGGAATAGATTATTGTCTCTCCAGTTGGTAGTTGGCACCTTCCAAATCCGTTCCATCTCCTCTCGCAGATTCCCAACACTTCTATTCTATATCTTCTCATCTCCGCGGCTACTTGGGCAGCCTTTCCAGTTTCGTAAATTGAACGAGCATTCCACGTTCTTATCCTTATTTTTGTTTTCGACGAAAAAAGCCACATCGGCTAACTGGCTTCCCGAAGGCTTTCACCAGGCTGCATTATTTCGCTTTCCCTATCCTAGCAAAAAATAAGGTTATTGTTTATACTTTTAGAATTTTTAATATATTGGTGCGTTGTGGTTTCTGTAGCGATTTGGTTAGGTTTTGGGGTGGAGTTGCTAGCACCACGTCCCAACCGTCCCTCTTTATCCGGGCTTGGGACCGGCTAGAAAACTAGCGAACTAGTAATCTAGGCAAGGTTAATCTCACATGATTGGTTGGAGGATTTCATCATGAGCTGACGTCGGTTAGAGAACTATTGGAAAACCAACAGGGAGTACTGGGTAGCTGTTTCATCCTAGTTTGGGACTCTTCGCATTACGCATCCACCTGGCTTCGAACCCATGACCTTCTGGTTACAAGGCGAGCTCGTAGACCACTAAGCCACCGGGAGCCGATCCAATGACTCACGAATTTTAACTTCTGCCAATTCATGAACACTTCGCAATGCCTTTTTCAATGAGCTACTGATGAAGAGTCCCAAACTAGAACTAAACGGCTATGCAGTACTCCCTGATGGTTTTCTAATGGTTCTCTAACCAATGCCAAATCATGATGAAATTCTCCAACCAATCAAACAAAATCCCTACAAAACCAATTCATGAAAATCTCATGTGAATTCTGACTGACTTATACAATAAATGATTGCAAAATCTAGTTAGCTTTGCTAGGAAAAGCCTCATTCTTAAATATACATAACACTTTATTCCTGAGCGTTGAAGCAGAAACAAAAATCAGTTTTATGCGTTTAATTTACGGTATACTCTATATTCCCTTCTTCATCAATAAAGCTGTCAGATTTAATTATACTTATTTCTGCTTCATCAATTCTCTTCAAGCTTGCAGGTAAAGTTTTGAAGCATAATAATTCAATTAGAGTAGGTGCGGTAACTAAGACATAACCGTTAACACTATCCATATGTATATATTTAGTAACTTAAAACTAAATAAAGCGTTTTACTTACCTTAAAATGTTTGATCACAAGACTACCTGAAGTGAATTTATCTAAAATGGTTCAGAATGTAAATATTTCATGAGACACTGAAAGCACAAATTATTAGTTTGACGATGTTGTTTGTTTTTGATAAATGTGAAGTACACCAATTTGAAAGTCTTAGCCAATAGTTTTGTCATAAATATTTCGTTTTTACGTACTTGTAGTCAAAGTGTATCTGCAGACTTTCCTTTTATTTTATTCATGGATTGTAAATTTCTATCATTCAATCGAAAGAAAAATAGTTGTGACCACCCTACGACATTCACAACACTCACCGATTCTGATCATTTCATTTTCAGTAGAGAGATAGAATACTTTTGATGGCTAGAAGAAGCGTTTTGGCAATAAAACAAAGTTAGAACTCGTGAGCCATTGACACGGGTCCCAGTGGCTGAATGGTATACGAGCTTGCCTTGTAACCGGAAGGTCCTGAGTTTGAATCCCAGGGGGTGCGTACTACCGATGATTCCCAAACTAAAATGAAACAGCAGCTGTACAGTACTCCTTGGTTTTCAATGGTTCTCTAACTGATATCAATCCGTGATCAACTCGTAATAACTAACTTCATCAAATTCGTGCTGACCTTTAAGAACAAAGATTTTTATGTGAAATAAAATTCCGTGAGTTTTTATTGATAGAGGTATGACAGTTAAACTCAAATGTTTGCTTACTGAAATTAGTTAGAATTGGTAATTAAAAGCAGCAGTAACAGTTAAAAATTGCTTAAGCTTATATTCAAGTAACACACTTTCTGAAGGTAAAACTCATGATATGATCTATAGACAGTTTAAGAAGTGATTGTCAACCAATCTACGTCGATAACTTGTATGCGGTTCCTTTCACTTGATTCAGGAGGAACAAGCCATGAATCGATCAAATTGCAACACTACGTATCAGCATCTAACAGAGCTTGGAATGGCAGTTAACTCTCTACCTCAACTTCATCGACTTTGAAAAGGCCCTCGATAACGTCGATCAGGAGGTGGTTCGCTACTACGCGGTGCCGCCAACAGTTATACACCTCATCCAACAGTTGTACGATAATGCAAAAGGGGAAACTCAAGGAATCCTTCGAAATGAGGACGAGAGTAAGATAAGGCTAACTACCATCTCTAATTATTTTTCTGATTGTGGTGGGCTGGACAATGTAACAGACAGCGG